AGTAAAATAAAAAGTTCTTTGTATATATAACTGGAGTATAAAGGTCGTTTTTTATAAACTTTTTATCAAAATAGATAAATTTGGTTTATTATCGGGAAATATACCTTCATCAGATTTCTGTGCTTTATTTCTCTTTAGTAATAGAACTCAAATCAACTTATTTTACCACTTATAATTGGTCTTCCAGAGATTATTGGAGGACTCTTTATCCAAAAATATTCTACCTTATCTTTTTCTAAAATTTCTTTAACTTCTTTACCATTATGAATTTTGGGTGATACATGAAATATTTCCAGTTTATCACACTTAACCAATAATAGTTTTGTTTTTAATTAAATACATATATAATTTTTATTTACCGTTTACTTTATTTAAAATATTGGAATATCTTTGGAGACACAGGTTTTAACTAAATTGAGAAAGGAAATTAACAATAATCATAAAAATAATATAAAAAACAATAAATTATTCCTTCCATAACTACCCATTGTCCTCAAGGTAAAACTAATATCAATGATATCCAGAAATAACTGAAAAGAATTTCAGATACAGCTTTAAAAGTTGCGTTTCAAAATAAACAAATCATAGTATCACGATGACAACACAAAAATGTATATATCTTAAAAAACAAAATATAAAGCAGTTTGGTAAAGGTATTTTTCCTTGTAATAAACAAATTGCTAAATCTGTGGGAAGTGTTCTATTACATACAGCAAATATATTACAAAGTACTGAGGATAAAACATATTCATAAAGTCTAGATTTAGTTAGCATTCATCTAATGTTATTTATGTATTATTTTGTTTCTGATTAAAACAACTATATGTTGAACAAACAGAAAATTTACGTTTAAGAAAAATTTAAATAATCCTCTTGTCAAAACTGCAAATAACTGTACATTACTTGTTAACAAACACACTGATAAGCGTATTATGGGAAATATCATACTTTAGAAGAAAAACACATTATTTTATTAACAAATTTAAAACCACATTAGATATTACATAGTTTCACACACAGACAAATTAACACTTACACACATATATATATAACTTAAAGGTAAAAAAACCGTGAGAAGTTTTCCATCGTTAAGTAGATCTTATCAGAATGTTTCTTACTTTAGATCCTGAAGAGTATCCTGGAAGATACGAAACCGATATTTATGCTTTTATGTATGTGTGTTTATATATATTTGCTTCAAATTTATCATAATAATAAGTTTTTAAGATGTCATAAACATATTTATTTTTTCGGCTTTAATTACTGAATAAGCATGAGTAAGACAAAGTAAACTGCAAACGCTATTAAACCGGTCTTACTCTGCACTCAAGAGAGGAAATTCGTAAAGTTTTATATTAAAGAATCCAAGATAGCAGTGAAAGAAAAAATACGAGAGAGAGAGAGAGAGTAGGGAGTGTAATTATAATTGTTATCGTAAGTTCGCGTACATTTAATGTCAATCAATGTAAACAATCATTACGTGTTTCTGTTAAACAGGCAGGAAATTGTCTTTTAAGA